CAGGGGCTTGCTCCAGGGCATTCGGCGTCCATGTTGACTGACTCGCTTGAACGCGTTTAATCTGAAATGAGAAAGCCAGGGCTGGATGGTCAGGCTCTGCTCAAACGTTGACAGTAGCTCTGAGCATCGAGAGGTTCAGGAATGAAGCATCTATGGGGCATCTGCGACCGGGTCGAAACACGACCAAACGGGAGAAGTTACAACCACAACCGCATCATGTTTGTGGGCTGGCCCACACGGGAGAAGTCACAACTGGCTATTGCGGTGCCTTTATAAGTTTGGACAGTCTCTGCAGAAAATCCATGCTACGGCCTTCAGGCTTCAGCACTAGAGCTGGATAACAGTGGTCGTGATTCGCCCCTTCTCTTCGCGCACAAGCACGAATGTGGAATATAAAGGAGATAAAAGATGGTTTTGTATGCTTCGGGTCATGTAGGTGCGAAACGCGTGTTCGTAGGCAATACTTTGCATGATTACCTCGCTTTGTATGTTTTCGGTCATGTAGGTGCGAAAGGCATGCAGGCCATACTTAACATGAGTATTTCGGTTTGTATGCTTCGGGTCATGTAGGTACCAAATGCATGTTCGTAGGCAATACTGGGCAAGATTACCTCGCTTTGTATGTTTCCGGTCATGTAGGTGCGAAAGGCATGTAGGCAATACTCAACATGAGTATTTCGGCTTGTATGCTTCGGGTCATGTAGGTACGAAATGCATGTTCGTAGGCAATACTTGGTATGATTACCTCGCTTTGTATGTTTTCGGTCATGTAGGTGCGAAAGGCATGTAGGCCATACTTAACATGAGTATTTCGGTTTGTATGCTTCGGGTCATGTTCGTAGGCAACACTTGGCAAGATTACCTCGCTTCATCTCGCTTCGTACGTTTTCGGTCATGTAGGTGCGACGGGCATGTAGGCAATACTTAACATGAGTATTTCGGTTTGTACGCTTCGGGTCATGTAGGTACGATTTGCATGTTCGTAGGCAATACTTGGCATGATTACCTCGCTTTGCATGTTTTCGGTCATGTAGGTGCGAAAGGCATGTAGGCCATACTCAACATGAGTATTTCGGTTTGTATGCTTCGGGTCATGTAGGTACGAACTGCATGTTCGTAGGCAATACTTGGCATGATTACCTCGCTTTGTATGTTTTCGGTCATGTAGGTGCGAAAGGCATGTAGGCCATACTTAACATGAGTATTTCGGTTTGTATGCTTCGGGTCATGTACGTACGAAACGCATGTAGGCAATACTTTGCATGATAATTACCTCACTTTGTATGTTTTAGGGTCATGTAGGTACGAAACGCATGTAGGCAATACTTTGCATGATTACCTCGCTTTGTATGTTTTCGGTCATGTAGGTGCGCAAGGCATGTAGGCCATACTCAACATGAGTATTTCGGTTTGTATGCTTCGGGTCATGTAGGTACGAAATGCATGTTCGCAGGCAATACTTGGCAAGATTACCTCGCTTTGTATGTTTTCGGTCATGTAGGTGCGACAGGCATCTAGGCAATACTTAACATGAGTATTTCGGTTTGTATGCTTCGGGCCATGTAGGTACGAAATGCATGTTCGTAGGCAATACTTGGCAAGATTACCTCGCTTTGTATGTTTTCGGTCATGTAGGTGCGACGGGCATGTAGGCAATACTTAACATGAGTATTTCGGTTTGTACGCTTCGGGTCATGTAGGTACGATTTGCATGTTCGTAGGCAATACTTGGCATGATTACCTCGCTTTGCATGTTTTCGGTCATGTAGATGCGAAAGGCATGTAGGCCATACTTAACATGAGTATTTCGGTTTGTATGCTTCGGGTCATGTACGTACGAAACGCATGTAGGCAATACTTTGCATGATTACCTCACTTTGTATGTTTTAGGGTCATGTAGGTACGAAACGCATGTAGGCAATACTTTGCATGATTACCTCGCTTTGTATGTTTTCGGTCATGTAGGTGCGCAAGGCATGTAGGCCATACTCAACATGAGTATTTCGGTTTGTATGCTTCGGGTCATGTAGGTACGAAATGCATGTTCGCAGGCAATACTTGGCAAGATTACCTCGCTTTGTATGTTTTCGGTCATGTAGGTGCGACAGGCATCTAGGCAATACTTACCATGAGTATTTCGGTTTGTATGCTTCGGGCCATGTAGGTACGAAATGCATGTTCGTAGGCAATACTTGGCAAGATTACCTCGCTTTGTATGTTTTCGGTCATGTAGGTGCGACGGGCATGTAGGCAATACTTAACATGAGTATTTCGGTTTGTACGCTTCGGGTCATGTAGGTACGATTTGCATGTTCGTAGGCAATACTTGGCATGATTACCTCGCTTTGCATGTTTTCGGTCATGTAGGTGCGAAAGGCATGTAGGCCATACTCAACATGAGTATTTCGGTTTGTATGCTTCGGGTCATGTAGGTACGAACTGCATGTTCGTAGGCAATACTTGGCATGATTACCTCGCTTTGTATGTTTTCGGTCATGTAGGTGCGAAAGGCATGTACGCAATACTTAACATGAGTATTTCGGTTTGTATGTTTTCGGGGCTGCTCGCCCGGCTGATGGCAGCTCTCCTGATCAACCTGTAGCCCGAATGTAGCCCGAAGATGCTACAGCGAAGTTGTCAAGGATTCCTTTGGCATCCCACTTTCAACAGTCCGTCCCCTCAACTGCTCAAATAACGCCCCAAAGACCCTTTGCACCTACTCAACAAAACCCGAAACCCCAAACATTCCCAATTGTGTTATCACCCATCTGGTTGTATCTTCACCCATCTGGGCCAATTTCTAAAGATTTCAGTTGTATTTGTACCATCAGGTTGTATTTACGCCCACCTCCATCTAGTTGTATTCATCTTGTACGGGTTGAGGAGTGAAATGGAAGCTGGCATAATCCTCCCCCATAGCCCCCGAGAAGAAGTCGAATGCAAAGGCTGATGCTCTACATCTTCATTGCAGTTTTTGCAATTTTGAACGTGGTGACCGGCGTTTTCTGAGCCTTGGTCTGAACCCACGAAGCCGAAACCCGTAGCATCACTGGACCATGACCAGTCGCTAATCAAAGGCGCAGAATAGTCCTCAAAGCATCCCCAGGCTCTAACCGAAAGCGGTGAGGCTAACGTATGCTCTGCAGGCAACACCGCAATTGAGAGCGCCCATGCTGACAAGGACAGAAGAAGTTGGCCACGGAGCCAGAAAGTGCACAGATTCAGATGCTAAGCGAACCCAAAACCAGTCTCGTGCAGTGGGGCTGACCAGACGCATAGCAGCAGACGAAAATCGCTGTGGGTTTTGCGGCTCTAGACTCTAGCGTTTGTCTCGGGCCCGGTTCTCGTTAGGTTTGCATGTCGTCCGAGACTTTCGCGAAGTGCAGGAACGATTCTCTTCACACAAAGCGTAAGCTCGTTGGTCGTAGGAGCTCGCGACCGTGATTTACGAGCGCTCGAAGAAGAGCCAAATTGCAGCTTGCCGGATCCCAGTGCTGTTCACGATAATCTCCATGTAGCGGCTTTGGGCCCTTTTGCGGATGATGGCGCTGTATACCTGCGAGCCTCGGAACTTTCTGGACTGGGAACTTCGTGTGTCTTTGTCTGCTTGTGTGTGTGTGTAGTATGATCAATTTTCAAGGGTCAGTGAGAAAGCACTTGGAGGAGTCCTCATCGTACTGGTGTAGCCGTTGTCATATTCGTCGTAGTCGCATTCTGCTTCTTCGTCTTCTTCTCCATGCTGAGTCTCACCCTATCAGTATTATGCCAAGTTACTAGTAGTACGTCGTGGTCGTCGTCGCAAGCCTCGCATGCAAGTCGGAAGCGAAAGATCCGCACCAAGCCTCCTCGAAGACGTGTCGAGGGCCCAAATCGGGTTCAACCGGGGGTCGGCTGGCACAGGAAACTCTCCGGACGATCTTCGAGGAGCCTGGCGAAGTCATCCGTTCAGGGTTTGAGGATTCTGTGCTCAGCTTACAGTGCAATTTTTGGATATGTGAGGGACAGAGCTTCATCCTTCCGTAGAGCGGCACCAATTTGGAAGTCCGGCGCATCGTCCTCAGATGGTCCACCGGTTGTGGAAAGGCCCAGTGGAAAGCCACACGACGAAACCGGAAAACGTCCATGGTAGGCATGCCTCACAGTTCTCGCTCCCCCCTGCCGTAGAGAGGAGATGGATTTCTCCAGCTCCGATCACATCAGCAGCTCGCAAGTATTGAAGAAGATCAGGAATTCCGTGAGAATTGGTATGTTGAGGGCTTGTAGGATGTGGAGGGCAGGCCTTCCCGCATTGCCCTTGAAGCTGGGACCTTCTTGGATCGTCCCGGCGTCGGCGAGCTCCTTGCCGGGGGTAAACCCAGTGCAGTTGCTCGTCAGTGCAGCATCTCGGGCACGGTTGATCTAGATCCGCGCTGCAGGAATTTGAGGTCTTTTGACTTGAGCCCCTTTGACTTTTGACCTTTTAAGCTTAGCCGGGGAGTGTCGCAAGCACAAGACAGGCTTACAGGGCTCGCGGGGAAGTTCTTTTCAAGTAAGGCCTCCACGACATCGAAAGGGCGATTGCACACGGCCGCCTGTGCCATGGCACCGTCAGTGCACAGTGCAAGTTCTGGGCATACGTGGGGATGTTAAGCTTCGGATTCAGCACGCACCAATCCTTTCTGGGGTCGTCAACGGTACTGTGGCATCGAATAGGCCGTCGAAGACGGGAGCCATGTCATCGCAGACGGACACTTCGCGACGGTTTCGGAATCGTCGTCGTCTTGAGCGGAAACGGTAGCACTGCCAATGTGCAGGCCATTGCAGGCCCCACGACCATACAGGAATGACGGTGACGTCGCTCTGCATTCCTCTTTCGGAGCTACTGTCTTTGCTGGGTGGGTAGAAGACGAAGCCATTGATCTTGCCAGCTCACATACGCCGCAGGCCTCAAAGCAGGCGCTGTGTCTTATGCCGCTCGACCTTCCGCTTCGCTCCGCTTCAGGTCCGACTTCCTGGGATCCATGGGCATCTCCACGGAGGATGTGACCTGGAGTCGATTGGAGCTTCTAAAGCCTTGCGACGCAAGGCTACAGAGTTCCTGAAGCTTCTGACGGAGTTTCCTGCGGTGTTTGCGGCATGCTGCTAGCAGTAATCATCCGAAGTCCTACAAATGCAGGCTGTGCTTGTGCTCCGAGCCTAAGTTGTTCAAGGCATTGATTCTTGCACACGGTAGAAAAGGTAGAATCTCCACTCGACGGCCATGAGTTCTGTGGGGAAGGGCTTGGCTTGGGTGTTACAGTTGACAGGTCACCGAATTTGTCACGAAAGGGAGCTTTTCGTCTTAGGGGGTGTGGGGGGGGGGCCAAGAGGTGGCCAATCCGGTCCCGATTTTGCAGCCATTCCCCGTGCTATGCAGGGATTTAGGGCTGATCCCTTCGGGGCCTTTTTTTGGCTCCAGCAGGTGGGTTCCTAAACCACCCTCCAATGGAGAAACGAGCCCCCCCATGATGCTCATGATGCTCGCCTCCCGGCGCCCCATGATGCTCATGATGCGCTTAGCTATAGCTATTGGAGATTAGAAAGTAAAAGACAAAAGAACACGCGCTTCGCTTGTTTCTTTTCGTTTAACTTTCCTCACATTCATTCCTTACATATTTTACTGTGTCCTTGTGTGCTAATAAAAGAAAGAGAGACAAGTGAGGAACGAACGCGTGCTCTTTTAAATTATTTAATTGAAGCACAACAAAGGACGCACACTACAGCAGAGGCCAGAAAGTTGGAACATGATTATCCTCGTGCCCTTAGGGTAAAGTATAAGGGATCCTAGCACTCATCCTCCTGAAGTCATGTTCCAACTTTCTAGCTTCTACTGTAACTTCTCTCACTTGTTCCCTTCCTTCTCGCTCCTTTCTTGCTTCACTCCACTTCATTCCGTCCCATTACAAAGGAGCGAAGCGAACGGAGTGAGAGAAGTGAGTGGTGTAACTAAATGAAACACAACAAAGAAGTGGAACGGATGCGCATTTGTTTTATTTAAATTAACCACTCACGAACTCACGACCCAAGCACACAGCTTATGATTGAGGATTTGTCCAGTAGAAATCTCTTGTGCTTTGTTCTAACAAAAATAAAGAGCAAGTGGAATGAGCGCCTTAATTTTAATTGAACAAGAAGCACAATATGTAAGACTTCCTCTGATTTTTAGTTATAGAAGTTTATTACTATAAGTCAGTTGTTTCATTCTCTTCTTTTTGCTTCTGTCCCCTCTTCGTTTTCTCTTCGTTCTTCGCTCAAAATCATGCTTCCTTTCAGTCATTATATTTTGAGTGAAGCACGAAGGGAATGAAACAAAGAGGGGAAGAGAAGGGAAGAGAATGAACTAATTTCTAGTACTAAGATATGACCTAGCTTATAATTACACTGTATTATGATGTAAAATTAGGTCATTCGTCGTTCTCCTTTCTTTTGTTGTGGTTCTTTTGGACGCGTGTTTTAATTTAATAATAAAATCATGCTTCCATTCCATTCCATTACATTCCCTTATTATTTGCACACGCTGTCCATGAAGAGCACATCCCAGAACACACAAGAAACGAAAGAAGAACGGAATGAACTAGAAATTGGTGTGATTCCGTTCGCAAGTGGTTCGTTTAATGAAGAGAAACATGCATCACTCTCTTCATTCGTTCTTTGCTTTCTCTCGTTACCACATTACTCTCTTCATGTCAAAAATCCCATGGTCTGATTTCGTTCACATTCCGTTCCCCTTTCATGTTGCCCTTGTCTCGCTTCACTTCGTTACATTGAAAAAGAGCAAAATTAAACGGAACGGGAACGAAATTAGACGGCCAACGGGATTTTACCGTTCGCTAAAGCCACATAGGAAATCCCCAAGTACAACAGGATATTGAAGAAAGTAGTGAATGGCATGCGTTTTTTCATCTTGCTTAATTCATGCACTACGTTCCACTTCCTTTTCTATTTGCGAAAGGACAAGAAAAGAACGCATGACTCACTTCCTTTCCGTTCCTTCCTTTTCATTTATCATTTAGCCTGCATTGAAAAGCAAACAATATCCCTCTGAGTTTCACAGAACACAGAACCTTCTCGAGCCCGGCTGCACAATCGACTCGTCGCCGCGCGTGCTATTCCAGACCTAGAGCTTTCGTCACCTCCCTCCGGGTCTCAAGTTTGAGTGCCGTACGCTATGACTAGGTCTGGACCTTCTTCATGCTCGTCGACTTCGATGGGAACGGCTCCTTGGCACGAGGGAGGGTCAGTTGCCGTTCCTACCTCGAAGAGTGGAGCAGCTCCGCGACCGATCCGAAAGTCACCGAAATCGATTGGAGACTCTTCCGAAAACAGCCAGTGGGTTCCGGATGAAACCACAGCATCCATCACATAAGGCCGGCCCCGGTCTACGCAGTTTGCAAATGGTGGGTCTAGTCAGACTGAGCTCGCTTCGGTACGTTGAATCTCTTGTGGAGCAAAGGTCACAGATTTGAGCGGCTTAGACGGTGGCACTTATCACCCACCACGCAGTCAGGCTCATGTGCAAACTTGTGGATTTAAGTGGGGCCAGCAACGGTCCAGTTGAACAGAATTGAGCATGTTTCCCATCAATGAACTTACTTCTCCTGTTCCCCAGCTTTGCATTGGCTCTGACTGATACATCGCGGTGCTGACGCAGTGTCGCGGCTTGTGTCGATAGCATGAGCGTGTGGCTGGTGGGCAGTCCTGAAATCGCCTTCATGGAGGTTCGTCGTTGGCGCCTTGGGCGATTTCGCTAGGACCTGGCTTGAAAAACATCACATGCTTCCCAGCAGCTCTTGTTAAGAGGTTGTGTTGTGTGATACATTGTATGCTTCACCACACGCACACACACACACACACCCACACACACACACACACACACCCGCGTGCGCGCGCCCGCGCGCGTGAGCGCGCACCAACACACATTGCACACGCACACGCAGGCAAGCACTCTTGCATGCGTGTTTGAAAGTTCCTGGGTACCGTGTTGACTGGAGCGGAGGGTCTCTGGTCCAAAAGGGTCTTAGTGCGCGGCAGACAACAGACCTCAGGGTGCGCGAAGCGCCAAGATCCTAGCTAGTATTAATTATTGCGGAGACCACTTAGAGGGGACCCTTCTTGGCCCTACTTCTGGCTCTCTTAAATTAAAGCGGACTTTGTTGAGAGGGTCCATATCAGGGTCGCATTAATCCTAACTCCTAGAAGCCTCTTTTGCCAGACCCCGCTGCCTTAGATTAGCGGTAGGCCTTTGTCGCCTTCCCCTCGCCCGCTCAGGACTTCTCGATCTCGATGAGTTTGTCAGCGGATGCATGCAGTGCTTCGGCAAAGAACACTTTGGCAGGTGATGGGATGCTTGAAAGTGCTTCGGGCGCAGACTCTCTCAACGTGGCCGTGCCCTCATCTCACTTGGGTTCTTCGAGGGATGCACGGCTTTGATAGTGAGGTAGCATGTTTGGAAGGTGTTGGAGGCCTGGAAGAAGTGCACCCTTGCATCCTACGACACCACGTTGTCCTATTTCTGACTTCGGCCTCCGCATCGCCCATAGGTTGAACGGGCCTGCACGGAGCATTCAACTCGCCAAGATGAGCTACGAGAAGCTTGGTCCGAGAGTGCCTGCGCAGGGCGCCCCACTTAAGCCCTGCCAATGCTGTTTGAACGAGTTCGGCTCAAGGATATGTCAAGGAGACCTGCAATGAAGTATAGGCAGATGGTAGGCGGAAGCAGTTGCAAGCAGGACTTCGGCAGTCTGAATGCTGCAACACGCTGAAGCCATATGGGAACCGCAGAGCGGAGTGGGCGGGGAGCGCGGGGGCCGGCTTTCCAACTTCGAAGCTTCCCGCGGCAAAATCCTACAAAGCCACCTGATATCAGGGATGATGCGCCTTCTTTGTAGTTCACAGCCATCCCTTGAACCGGTGCACGCTTGCCAAAACCCGGGCGCCACATCACACACCCGGCATCAACATGTGCAGCGAGTCCTGGCAAGCTCAGGAACAAGGTGTCACGGAAAGAAATTCGAGGCATCGCCGAGGACCGCTTCTGTTTTGTCCTCCATATCCGCCGATGAAGGGCTGGCGATAGAGCCCTCTATACAGTTTTGTTGAAAGAAAGAATCTGATCTGATGTACTCCTGCACGACCGTATCACCGAGCCTCAACAACACACACGATCATGATTGGTTTGCTTCTTGCATAAGGGTTATGCAGAGTTGTCGGTACAGCTTCCTAGACAGAAGCTGGATTGGAATCAGAGGGCCTTCAGCATAAAAGCCCAACTGCCCCGGGTGCATTCTTGCTCGTGTTGTGCAGGAGCTAAGGCAGCTGTCCGAGCAGGTGCAAGCAGCAGGCGTTTCTCTTCAGGCCGGCAGCGGGCAGATGGCTTGGGTTTCTTGGATCTGTTGAGTTGGAGAGGTTCCAACCAGAGCTGAGATGAACCCTTGCAGTGCTGGATCCTGAATCTGTCGCCCCTGCAAAACTGGCCCTCGCTCTGCTCAGGAGCCTCCGAAAGTCGAGAGCAAATGTCGCGTCACCAGCGAAGTTTTCTGATCCGGAGATTTTAAGACTTGCGTGATCACTTCTTTTAACGAGAACGATTCTGCAGAACGAATACGTTTGAATCTGGTATGAGCCCGGGGTTGGTCGATTGCAGCATTGCCGGCCTTGCCTTCTGATGTCAGCGTCACAAAGTGGCACTTGCTGTATCTTATACATTGCGAGAGCTGTTTGAGAAAAGGTTTGTGGAGTTGTCGGAGGTCAGTGGCTTTCTTGACTTACATTCTCCTGGAGTGCGAATGTGGTGGACTAAAGGGAGCCTAACAGCCAATCACATTGCGTCTTGAATAAGAACTTGAAAGTCAGAAAGTCAGCACCGACCTGGACTCGAACGCAAAGCTAAGCCAAGCGCTCTTGAGAATTCACCGCACGTTGAGTTTTGCAGGCTTGAGATTCGGAAATCTCGAACACTCAGGTACTCTTTCTGCTTGCGTTCCTGGTTCCCTGACAGTTGGGCGATTGGGATCTGCTGCGAAGACTGGGTGTTCCAACCCCCTCGATGACCTGGACCCGTCCGGTCCAGTCGTTTGAAAAGAGTCGAGGCGAGCGGCGTGCCTCCGATCGAAAAGAAGACGGGAGCAGAGAACTGGCATCCTGAGACCTCTTGTGAAGTCTTCCATGTTTTTGTGCGCATGCGTGTGTGTGTGTGTGTGTGTGTGCGCGCGCTTGCGCACAGGGGCAGACCTTGAACTATAATCATCTCGAACTGCCGTTATTGGAAAGTCCGCGTCTCTGCCAGGACGCCAGCGCGACACCAAGCTGTCAAGGACGTCCGCTGCTTCAGATTCGTCGCCTGGAAAGTGCGCAGCTTTGTACTAAGAGCCCCTCAGGGGGCTGGGGCCAATCGCCTCAGGTTTCGGCCTTAGTCCGGAAAGCTCCAGAATCGTCCTTCAAAACTTGGGTGCACCCACTGCCAGCAATACAGCGAGAGCCTGCGCGCTCTTTGAGTCTACTCTCTGCTGCGACTTTGAGCTCATCGGGACGCTCTGTAGCGGAGCTTGTGAATCCGAGAGCCCGGATGTCGCAGAAAAGAGGTTCCGCAGTATTGAAGTTTAACTCGCAAGAACGATGATTTGCATTCGGCACAAGCATCCTAGACATCCCACTGCGGCCATGGCTTTCGACAGCTCGCGCGGTGACGAGGTGCGCTCCGCAGCTTTGGCTCAGGAATCGTTGGTCCCAGCTCTGCATTTGGATCTCGGTGTAAGGAGATTTAATCATTTCAGCAAAGCATTCAGCCGTAAAATGCAACCGTTGCTGCTCCTACCACGACGACGACGAAGAGAGCGACGTCTGCTACTACTGCTACTACTACTACAACTGGTGCTAACACTATTGCCAACCGCGCAACTGCCCCTACTACCGCTACTACTACTACTACTACCACCACGACGGCGACTACTGCTACTACTACTTACTCGAACTGCTACTACTACTACTACTACTACTACTACTACTACTACTACTACTACGACTACGACTACGACTACGACTACTACTACTACTACTACCAATACTACTACTACTACTACTACTACTACTACTACTACTACTACGACGACTACTACTACGACTAAGCGTCTCGGCTCGTGACTGCCGGGACTCCCCCGGGATGGAATCTGATAGGTGCGCCGCTCGCTCGACATGGAACGTCTCTTGCTGCATGGGTGTAACAAGATCTCCAAAGCTAGGATGGATGGTGATGCTTTGCATTGGCTGGTCATTGATGTTACTATGGAACTGCAGATGCGACGGTGGACCCCCATGCGACTGCCTCAAGCAAGCATTATGGAACTGCTTTTTCTGTATGAGAGAGACATGGAGAGCACTTCGGCCTTCTGTAATTTCTGGGACATGTGGAAGCACTTCAGAGCACACGAGCAAGTGGAAATGCTTCAGCTTGTCTCCCTGTTTTTTCCGCAGTTTGCTTATCTTATGCTGGATCACTGGTATCGCTACTCAGTGTGCCTTCATGTGGAGGAGATGGACTAGGCGGCCCTCAGGTTGCTATGACAGTCTGGGAAGGAGTGCTCGGTCTCGGCAGAGCAAGCTTGGCTACGTGGCAGCTTTAATGCTTGCCCTTGGTCTTTCTTTCCTTTGGAAGAATCAAGTTCTTCGATCATTTCTTGCAGGACCCTCGCTCATTCATCACGCTGAGGAGGGTAGGGACACTTTGTTGCTCAAGCTGCAGTCTGTTCAGTCTGTGGGAACTTTGCCTCTTGCTCTGGCACCGGACCGGGTGGTCCACATGGGCCTCCATCCTTCTGCATCTGCAAGCGCCTTCGAAGCAGCAGCCCCAGATCAGCAAAGGTGCCACTTTCAGCTTCAGTTTTTTGCTTCTGCTGTCACCAACCAGTACATGTCACTGGGAGCCTGTAGTGTGCAGCTGCTTCTTCAGTGGAGGTTCCCCTCCGCCTTGCATCATCTCTCCACCTGCCTATGGCGAACTTAGGTACTTGAGGCTGCCTCTCTGGCTTGGAGCCCATCACGGACATGGCAAGGAGCTTCAGGTTTCGGCACTTGTGCCACGACAGTGGTTTTCAAGCATGCTGCCTCCTTTGCTGTAGCTTCTGGATGTACTTCTGGTTGTTGCATTGAACAGCTGAGCCAGTGCCCCCCTGCTCCAGCCTTGCGCCACGTTGCCCTTACATGGCCACCAGGGAGGTTCCCCTCCGGTAGACAAATGGGACACCCGGTGCATTGATCCATTCACTGAGGTCCACGTGCAGCCTCCTCTGTCGCCTCCTGTCTTCCTTTCTGGAAGCTGTGCAGGACCTCCTGCCTGCACTTGTCATTCCGCTCATGTTCGTTCTGCCAACACAGCTCTGCGCCTCTTCAAGTGTACGAGCAACTACTCACAGTCTGTGGATGGAGGGCGGTGAGCCGCCGGAAGATCCTGTCCTCCGAAGACCCTGCTGCAAGTCGCCCTTCTGTAGAGTTGGTGCATCCGGATCAAACAGGCGGCTCCTCCTAAGGTCTGGAGTCGTCCTGCTTGCACAACGATCAAAGACGCAGGTCCTCCAGCTGCAAAGCGTGGCAAAGTGCCGACTGGCCGGGCATCCTCCTCACCCTCTGCTGGGAAATCTGCCAAGGTCGCTTGTCGCTGAGCCGGGGGAGGATGCTGCACAGGATGCTATGTGCTCTGACACTGCGGGTGATTCCTCGCGATCTTCTTCTGCAGCTGATGCTGGAGCTGCAGCCAACAGGGTGGCCACAGACCCACGAGATCCAGTAGAGGAGCAGCAGCAAGAGCCTGCACTTTCTCAGGGGCACACCAGTGCAACGCCAATCTCTTTTGCGCCTGCCCCTGCAGCCAGCGAGACTGCTACTTCTGGCACTGATGCGGTATACATGCACTGCCTGGAGCCTTGCAGTACCATCATGTTTCAAGTTGACTGTGTATTGTGTGACCATGCTCTGCAGCTGTGGATGCGCAGCCCCATCCCGCCCTCTTCAAGACCAGCCTGTGACTGTGCCGCCAACAGGAGCCCCTCTATCTCGCGCAGACCCAGCGGTCGATCATGCTGTCCTTCCAGCCGAGCCAGGCCACTGACCTTTCTGTTTTCCCCTCTGCCGCTCCTTACGTCTTCCAGCCACCTTCGAGTCCGCCAGCCAGATGCATGTTGCGGTAGTGGAGTGTGCAAAGGCACTGTGCGCTTGCAGCCTTTGCATGTGCATCAACCAACTGCATATCTGCTTGCAGCTTTTGGCTGTATACAGCTGCCTGCCTTTGGCCTGTATAGGCTCGCTACGCTAGGGGAACTGTGTCTCAGGACGTCAACCCACTTTGCTCGTATGGCTGATGAGGCTCTGGAGGAAAGGGGCACCTCGGATGTTGATTCCTTTGATGCCCCCTCACCGCCTGGAGAGCTGCCAACAGGACACCGTCCTCCTGCATCAGGGACCCCTATTGGGGACTTACTTCGGCTAGTCCCTCAGGCCCTGGTCAGACCTCCTGCTGCTTCCTCGTCTCCCTTGCGGTCTTCTGCGGATGGAACATCAGCTCGTTCCTTGCATGCAAGGATGACTGATCTGCCACGCAATCGCAAGAGACTCCGGAGAAAAGCTAGACCGACCATGGCACCACATATCAGGGAAGATGTGTCGGAGAGGCGCCACTCGTCCTCTGCTTCCGCTCCTACCACTTTGGCCGCTGGACACCAAGGAGTTGAGACGAGCCACCCTTTGTCCCGTGAGCTTCTCGGAGCTGTTGCTGTTCACGCCTCTCATGATGAGAGCGCTCCCTCCGCCCCGGCTGGAGGTGTTGCAGACTTGACGGATGGCGCTGATCTGGACTTAGGACGCGAGTACACTATTGATCACAGTCTCAACCCGCCCATTGCACCGGCGATGGGTAATCTTCCTGCAGTGAATAGGGGCAATCCTCGATTACCCCCTCGGGCTCGAGCGGCGGCCAAAATGCTCGTAAGAGCAGGGCTGCGTTGGATGCTTTCGATACGGAGACTGCTGCATCTGCGCAGAATATACGGTCTGCGAGTGGAGTGCCGGCTTCCCTCTTTCACTTGCCCCACCTGTTGACTCAAAAGGACCCTACCTCCTAAACCCTGGGCAGGTGCTGCGCGGCCAACATACCCGGCTCTGGACGGCGCGAGGGTCCCTGCCTTGTGTTTCCGATTAATTACAGCAGTTCCCCTCTGCCTCACCCCAGTCCGGAGAACACCAAGAGGGTTGATTGGTCGGAGGTTTTGCCTCCGCCCCTGACTGCTTCGGGACTCTGAGCTCTTTCTTGCAGTCCTAGAGGTGTATGGTCAATCGGAATCCACAGGTTTTTCACATAGGGCTGGCAGTCTGCACCAGCAGCCTTTTGCGAACTTCTCTCGGCAACCTTCAGGACCTCCAAATCTGCTTCGTCCCTGATGGGGATGCTTCTACCGCAAACCACGCCCAGGCCGGAGAGTTCGGAATAGGAAGGCACGTACGCAGTGGAGTCATTTCAGTGTTGATGTCTGCCATCTCGGTTTTTGTTTTTGCCGCATGTTCACCTGCCTGCTATGGACCAGTGCTCGCTTGCCACATCCGTGGCATTCTTCGCATTTGGCTGCATATGCTGCATATATTGCAACTCTTATGTGTAACCTCAGACCTCTACAGAAATTGATTCCGCGGACGAGCACGACACCATCCTCATGTGCCAACTACCATCCCGGTCCCAAATCCCAGAATCGTTCCCTCCTCCACTTGATTCGTATGTACAGTATTGCCATTAGTGAGGGAGGTTCGATAGACGCGAGGGTTGCGGGTATAGTCACGAACCCCCAGGGAGCAACACATGCCCCGACTCCAAACTTGCCTGAAACGAGTGCGAAGCTTCGTGAAACTGAACACAATGGCATCCACGCTTTCGCTCGTTCCACTGCCTATGCAGCTCTTCTGCTATCGTACAATGTCGGTGGACTTTCTGCAGCGAAATTGGTTGAGATTGAGCATTGGCTGAGTCAGTGCCGTGAGCAATCCAGAACAGTCCATATTACTGTCTTACAAGAAACTACATGGTCTCTCAATTCTGAATGGTCCACAGCACATCACCACGTTATCCATTCTAGCTCAGGCACCCGCCAGGATGGACTTATGGTCCTGATTGGTAAATCATTTGTTGCGTCGGGAGCCATTAGAAGCTCTGCTATTGTCCCGAGCCGTCTCCTGCACGTTCGCATAGACCTTGAGCCGTGTCTGCATGTTTTTGCGCTGTACCAATACGTTTGGCACGAACCCTCTGCGGATCCGAAATGCCTCGCGAATCGTGAAAAGGTTTGGATGAGCCTTCAATCATCGATCAGGGGCCTCCCGTGGCGGTCCCAGCTGCTGGTTGCAGGCGACTGCAATACTCCGTGCTCGCTTTCTCCGTCACATGCGGGTGATGGTACCCTCCCGCTCACTGAAAAGGTTCGCCAATCTGATCAGTCAGTCTAGACTCCATCACACTGTGAAGGAATTCAATCTTTGTGTGCTCAACACATGGCAGCGCCGTCGGCATGCGAGCAGGTATCGTTTTATCACGGACAAGGTTCATCATCAGACCCAAATTGACTTCCTGATGTTTCGCCTTCGGGATACGGACCCTATAGCCCGTGAAGCTCGTACTATCTCGGCCCCTTCTGCCTCTACGAAAGGTATGCATCATG